TGATATTTATTTTTGATTATGGTCATGATGGAAAATACTGCTTCACAGCAGCAGGTTGACCAAACATACTCAAAATGTGCAGGTTCATCTTTAAGCACACGATTTCACTTTTCTGTCACCAGTTCACCCCTGTTCTTCCAGCAGGCCACACTTTCTTTCACTTTATGTCATCTTCTACTCCTTCTTTTCCATTGCCCAGTGTAAGTACCAGATCTGCTAGGGTGGTACAAGCCTGAACTTGCCACAGGTTTGCCTGCTGTGTCAAAAGGTATCTAGCAGGAGCAGCCCTGATTGACACAGCTTATTGGCTAATTTGTATCAAGTGCAGCCTGGTTCCAGGTGCTCTGGAGGGCTTTACCGTACAAACAGGAGAAGCGGCGCAAGTGAAATTAGACACTGCCATCGGACAACATGCAGTAATTTATAAATGTTTTAAATCAGGTTGGGTCCGGATTAGCCAGCAGGTGGGTCTGGGACTGGACCGTGGTTCACTAATCTGGGACCTCTGCTTTAAAACTAGAAGGGTGTACATTTGTCAAGAAATTTTTTTTCCCCCCCAACCCCAAAAAAACTCTTGCCTTTATAGCGAAGCTACCGGTACCTTGGTGCTGCCCATTTCACAAGGTTGCTGTATCACACAACCTCTGAAGGCTGATAAAAAGTCTGAGACCACTTACAACCAAAAAGTTGCTGCCCTAAGCAGATTGGATGCTAAAAGATTCACTGCCTCTCAACTCTGAGCCTTTTTATGTAGATATTCTTTAATCACTTGTTTTCACCGATCAGGGGAGGGGCTGGTGATGGGACAGCAGAACTCTCTCTCACTGCAACAGTTCTGCTGTTCTATGTCCAACCTTTAACTTTTTAGCCAGCAAGTTAAAGGTTGGAAATAGATGGGTCTTCAAAATGGAAAAGACCCTGACTGGCCTTAAATATCTAAAGGCGAGTCTGATACAATGTTAGAGGAAGAGCTGGCTCAACCTCTGTACAATAAAGTAAATATCTGCTTTTATCTGTGAATAAGTTATGAATGTTGCAGAGTTTAATTTTACACTTTACCATTCTGATTTAACACAAAAATCAGTGGTTGAGACATTGCAATCAAAATGGGCTGGAAAACAGCATATACAGATCAAACTTTTCTAGAAGACTTAATGGAATCTCACCTTATACACTGATGGCACAGCGTCTGTATTCAGCAGGGCAATGCTGGCAGCTGGATTCACTTGGAGAAAACAGCTAGGTGTGAAGTGTTCAGCACAAACCCTGATGTCAACCCATGAGGATTCTTTAATTCTCTGACCATTGACTAGAAAAAGAAACTGGACCCATTCCAGTCTCTTATCTGAGTCTGCTGGTAGACTGAAGCACTGCACTCCACGACGCCATGAATCACATCTGACGACGGAGCACATCCTGGATTTAAAAGCATCATCCGCCTCTTCTCTAAAAGGGCTGAAGAGAGAAAGAAATTGTGAGTGATAAATTAACATGGACCATTTTTAAATGAAGTGGGAAGAAAAAGTCAGTGGTACACTGCCATTTTAGTAGGTCTTCTTACAAAGCAAATAGAAGCCTTACATTTTTTATCATACAAACGATTCAACTGTGTTTTAATCTAAAACAAAAATTGAGAAAATTACATTTAATATTTTTTTTAGTAGTTAGGCTGCATCCACACAAAGAAATAAAACATCCTAATTTCAGAAACATTTTTGGAAGCACAAATCGAGCTCAGTAAATGTGTACCTCCATATGAATACATTCGAAATGCCTGAAAATGCAGTGAAATTCTGCCAGATCGGTCAGTGACACGATGATAGAAAAATGTTTGGAAGGGAATTGGGCATGTGCAGTACTATATGGCACCATTGTTATCGTAATTTTCGGAGTATCTTAGCGTCTCATGGAAAGTTGCTGAAAGTCGCCATGGAAATTGGTTGCCTAGCACCCTCAAGGAATACCACAGCACGAGGTTTAGAGAAAGACCGGGTTTAACCTTGTTCTTCACAACCAGTGAGAACTGGCCACAAAGAAACACAAATAAAAGGTACATATAATCTTGATATCAATAAATAAAGTACATACAAATTAAAAAGGGACAAAAATCGTGAGCTGTCATCCACAATGGGCTAAATACTCTCCTGGAGTCTTATATTACCTTTCCTTCAATCTAACCAGTTTCTAATATTTTAATGTACCTTTCATTTGGTCTTCTCAGTAGTATGGTAAATGGCGGTCAGCTGTATTTGCTGAGCACAATTAATTGAGCCAGAATCTTAAAGCTTTAATAATTAGCTTTGCCCCTAATAACCACCAAATGGCACAAAGTGAGGAAAGGTAGCACAAAATAACATGGGAGCCTGCTACAGAGCTAGTTTCAGAAATGTACATTTACAGATCCCCAATAAGCTGGCTTTGTGGGAAGTGCTTTTATGTTAAGGCCACCGTTTATCTCCGTATGGATGGGGTATGCATTTGTATTTTATTGTATAGCATAAGCATTTGATCACCTACCAAAGAATGACAATAACAGCACTTACAGGCCTGTTAAATATTCAGGGTTCCCTCCACTCATCTGTATAAAAGACAATCGTAGACACACTTAAACTCTAATCAGTTAATTTTCTGGAAAGAAAATTAGGAAAAATATGTGGCAGCCCAGATTATTTACTATTCTAGGCTTCGAGAACAATACAACTCAGTTTGTAACAGACCTCTGACACAAAACTCTCCTCCTCTTGCATGTTTCCGCTGTCCATAGCGTTCCTTGTCAGTGCTACTTGGTCCTAATGTAATTTCCCATTGGGAACCTACTAGCACTAAGTAGCTAACTGGTTAGAAATGTGCTTCCGAGACAACGGCCACAACCAAACTTGCTTGCTAACCTTCCACCACAACAATCCGGCCCCCTCGATAATCAACCAATCACATTCACTTTATTCACTTGTGTAAAATCGGGCACCACTTGGGAGAATCCAGAACTGCAACCGTTGGAACAGCCGCTTCCCTACGACTTTAACAAGCCGTGCAATTTGCTATGATCACGGGTTTATATCCAGTCTTGTGGCTGCACCGTGCAGATCTGATGATGCTCACAGTGGTCCTCAGTAAACTCCAGGGACTTGTACAAATGAAAAATTGGTGGAAACACTGCAGATAGCTACTTGCAGTGGGGGTCTAGACAGACATTCTGATCGCTGACAGCCTTCACCAACCACGTTCATTCTCTAATAATAAAAAAGATATTTCGGTTACCTTTTTTATTGTTATACCCAGCGACACAAAATCCGGATGGCATCTTTAATGTCCGGGGGGCCAGATCAGGTAATAAAGATGACCGCGGCTAGATTCTAACATCTGTAAATAAATTATTTACATCACTAACCTGTAATGATCAGGAGACTCCTTGACATTAGGCACCTGGGGTGTCAGAGGTTCAGATGTGCCTTTATGTCCTGCAGGATCTTTTTTGCTTCTACATTCATAGCTGCAAAAAAAGGGGACAAAATGAAATTCATTAGCCTAGATCTATGGGTTTAATGCACAGACAAAATCTTGCACTGAATGCCAGATAATGCAACATATCTTAGAATTTTTAATCCCTGTTTAGCATCAATTAAACAACACCACAGGCACACGTGGAAAAATGTGTCAGGACCACATCTATTTATTCTTGTGTCAGGGCCAATCTACATTGATTCTAAAATCAGACAAGAATCCATTCATTTGAAAATATGAGGCGAATTACTCTGATTAACATCCACGCCAAAATAGTATGTCAGAATTTTGCAGAAAGATTTTAGTCATGCTTGGATGCCAAAAAATATTTCCATGATCAGGCTTGATGCAAGAAATGCAAATAAATAACAATATAAGGTCTATTGGGGACTTGACTGATTATAGGGACTCACTTTCCTTACACTGAAAATAACTTTCATTTTTTTATTGACATATATAGAGCCTTTTATATAACACTTAGTTCAGCTTTATTGTGGCATTTAAAAATAAGCTACAATTATGAGGACCTATTTACTTGTAGTAAGAAAGACTTCAAGTCTCATTCGACATTTTAAATATCTTGATGTTGTTATAAAAATTCTATATACATAAATGTAATTGAACCTATACAAAACCCAATACATTTCAATATAAAGACTAAAGTGAACACCGACTTTGGTCCATTGGAAGGCTCAGCAAATATAAAAGCAAGGAAGACTATTTTTTTGTATGCCTCAAGGTAATCTGCAGTGTTTGAATGATCTTGCATGTACCCATCTTCTCTTTTTAGTGATTACTATAGATTATTATTATTATTTTTTTTACTTTTAGTGTATCTTTCTCATGCAGATTTTTCATTAAATTTTTTCATTGAAATTCTACAAAAACTTGCCAGCTTGAAAGAGCTTCTGTGTGACGCTTAAATTGTGCATTGATGATTGAAAGACATCTTCTGTCTACATTCTACAGTGTGCTGAATTCATGTTAATATTGATTTAAAGACATTTCAATAAGTGGAAAAATTTGCAGGGGGTGGGGGGTATAAAAAAAAAAAAAGTGTATCAACCAAAACTTTTGTGACCCCCATGCAGTACCTCTGTGGACTCCCTGGGGATCGCGCGCCCCCTGTTGAAGACCTCCGCTTTACTGCAATCCCCTTCATTCTTTCTGTTTTTGATCTCTTCAGACATATTTCTAAAATTTTTGCTTGACAAATGTTTTTTTTTTTTTTACCCAAAGATTAGAAAAAGTAGAGGTAGGTAAGGTCAGCACATGTTTGTTAGCTACATATCGCCCATTCAGAAATGGTTCTGATTGTACCCTAAAGAGCTGCAGTCTGTTACATTGAGAAGAGAGCAGACTTCGACTGAAAATTTGAAGTAAAACAGGTTTCACGCCACTCTCCCACCCTCTCTGCTTCACTCATGCCCCACCTCCATTCTCCACCTCTCTCACAGCATCTTCGCAGCTACCGCATGCGCATGTTTGTAATTATAATTACCTGTCAAGCAGAAACGTGCCCAATTCAAAATCGGTTTTAAATCCCTTCAGGTCACGAAGCTCTCTCCACCTCTGAAAGGCTGACCCGATATTTACCCTCGTCTTATCTCGGGCTCGGTCGAGTTCTTTCTTTCTTGAATTTTTCTCTTCCATTGACATCTTCTTTTTTGAAGTCTTTGCCGTGTAAGCAGTTGTCGGCAGGGGCAGTAAGGGCAGTTTCTCTTTCGCTGGAGGCTGTCGCTCCGCCATGACTTCTACGCGCGTCCTCCTGACTGCGGAAGCGGCAGGTTTATGGAGAGATATTTGTGCCATCGGTTTGCAGGAACCAATCCGAGCGCGCAGTGCGACAACACGCGCGCGCTCAACTCTGAAAAACCCTCTCAACACACTGTTCTCGCGCTCAGTTTCATCTCTGCTCGCGCTCAACACCAGCTGTGCGTTCGGCTGTTTCTCCGCTCGCTCGACTCTCTGCTCTCGCAACTTCATCCAGTGAAAGCATTCGTTCGTTCCTTCTTCTTCTTCATCTTATTTTCCATCATGGCGGATCGCAAGCAACTTTAAGGTGTATACCGCCACCTACTGTTCACGAGTGTGTAGCAACATTGTTTTACATCTATTAAATTCTATTTTTTTATTTTGTATTCTGCGGATAACTAAATAATGCTTTCCTTAATCTATAAATATCCTTTATATTTCCTTTATTTCCCAATAATCCTTTAAGACTCCATTCTTGGCCTGTCCTTTACTACATCCTGTTAAATGAAAAAAGTTATTTGGTCAACACTCCTAACCATTTGATGGACAGAAGATAGTACTATAAAATATCTTGAATTATCTCAAATAAACTTCAGTAAAACAGTTATTAAATCATTGCCTCATCCATCTCTTTTACCTGCTATTGACATGGATTTAAATTTGCTGTTTTAAAAGAAAAATAAGGAGAATATTTCAGGTTCAAGTATGGTTCAACAATATATAGATAAAAAAATATTATGGATATGTTATATTTTTTATGGATGCTTCAAAATATTCCAATATTAGGAATGGTGTTTTGTTTTAGTTCCAGAATTTATTTTTAAATCGGGTAAAAGAATCAGTGTTGGAATTCAGCCTCCAAAGGAGAAATGTTTTGGATCATATTGGCCTTACAATGGATTGAAGATATCTTTCCATTAAGAAGTTTAGTTTGCTCTGATTCTAGATCAGCGTTATATTAATTTAAACACAATTATTCACACAGCAGACCTGATGTGAAATTTAACAATTATTATTAAGAAGACCTTTTACAGATGGACTCTAAATAAGAGGGTTATTCTTTATTATATATTAAAAAGAATAATTTGATAAACAGGATTTTTCAGTTGGTGGTGTAATTGTTGTTTGCCAACCTCCATAAAACACAACAAAAAGAAGAAACACCCACCACAAAAGCTATGAGTAAGGCCAATATGATCCAAAACATTATCTATATATTGTTGAACCATACTTGAACCTGAAATATCCTCCTTATTTTTCTTTTAAAACAGCAAATTTAAATCCATGTCAATAGCAGGTAAAAGAGATGGATGAGGCAATGATCTAATAACTGTTTTACTGAAGTTTATTTGAGATAATTCAAGATATTTTATAGTACTATCTTCTGTCCATCAAATGGTTAGGAGTGTTGACCAAATAACTGTAAGAGTTGTTTGATTTTCCTGATTGTGTTTTTATTTTTTATTTTTTTCATTTAACAGGATGATTCCCCGTTTACATACGTGATAAACCAGTCATCAAATACAAGTGTTAGATAAATCCAGTGATAAGTCTGCTGCCTGGCACGTAGCTCGCTATAATATGCAGCTTCATATATCTGTCTCTCTCACACTCACACCACTATCAGCTGTGGTAATTTTATGAAGCTGTGGCCTTATCTAGGTAATGCTACCTGACAATAGTTTGGTTGAAACGGGATGTGGGGGTGGGGTATTACGTGTATAAAAAGACAATTGTGTGTGTAGGATTAATTACCTGTCCAACAAAAAAACTGGCAACTTGAGCGTCACTTTGAAAACCTTTTTCCTCCATCAGTGACTTCCATCGT